GTTGCTTGACCTGGAGTCCTGGCTACTCCTCCCTCTGCCTTACCCTCCATGCCCAAGCACTTTCCAAGTCTAGTCAACGCTCCCTCCCCACCGCTTCTTCTACCACTCCCCCAAACCAGGGCCTATGACTTGTGACTTTTACTCCCTGGGTCCCTGCCCCTCCTCCAGCCCCCCCACCCTGACTCCCATCTGCTCTGCTCTAGGCCATCTCCTTGTTCCCCTCTCCTCCTCTCTGGTGATCCTTCTTTTTCCCTTGACATTGGCCTCCTCCGTTCTGTCTCTTTTTCCATCACTTTTCTGACCTGTCCCAGCCTCTCTGGACTTTGTCTTGCCCTGGCTTCCACCCTGAATCTCCCCTTCCCTTCACAGACATGCTTGAAAGAACCGTCTACACTGCACTCATGTCTCTACTGCCCTTGTCCCCCCCAGCCTGCCATAATCTGGCTTCAGCCTTGCTCTCCGCAGCCAAGTCCCCAGTGTCTCCCTGTTTCTGAGCCAGTGGACGGATGCTCTTTGGATCTGCCAGGTCCCCTCCTGTTCTCCTGTCAGCATGCCTCCCTTGCAGCTGACCTTTGCCATGCCTCTCTCCATCATCTGTCATCAGCCACCTCTCACTCCATGTGCCCTCCCCAGAGAAGCCCCCCTCCCACTGCTTCAGCTCCCTGCAGGCTGATGACTCCCACATCGCAACCTCCATCCTCGACTCCTCATCAGAGCTACCTACCTTACACCCAGCTGCCCACGCCACATTCCACCTGCACAAATCACCAGCCCTCACACTCAGTGTGTTCCAAGCCACCGACCCTCTCCTGACAAACCTCAGCTCCCTGTAGGTCCCTCATCCTGAAAGTGGAACAACCATCCACCTGTGCCCACGCCAGTAGCACCCTAGTCCTCCCAGCTCCTTGTCACTAAGCACAGCCGCCAAGCTCTGCTGAGTCTGTTACCTCCTCGCGACACCCTGGGGTTTGCCGCTGCTGCTCATGCTACTCCACTACCGTTGGGTAAACTCTCACCTGGTTCCCTTCTGGCCACGTGATCTTCCTGCCTCCAGCTTTGCCTTATTTCATTTTATCTGATCTTCTCAGAGCCAGACACTGTTCTGGTCATTTGTTTCCCCATCACCTGCAGGATTCTTAGCTTGGTCCTGGGCCCTGTCACACACCTTCCCTCCCTTCCTAGACCCGCCTCCCCAGGCTTCAGGCAACCAGACCACCTGAGTTCCCTCAATGCACCCCTCATTTTGCCTGGCTAAAGGCACTTTTGCCTCCTTCTCACCTCTCAGGCCTAAGAGCATATGTCCCTCCTTTCAGGCCATGTGCCTCCTCTGGTCCCCAAGGCCCCAGCTTCCCCTCTTCATGGCACGCTGGTGGCTGGCCCATAGATCTCTCGTGTGAGCCTTTTCATAAAGGCTGTGGTTCTCCTTCACTCATCCACCCTGGCCTCCCTGGCACTCGATGCCAGTAGCTGATGGGTGATTAATAGGTGTGAGCTTGAGTGAATCTTCCTGTCCCTCCCATGTAACTATTGTGTACTCTCTCCACGCTTCTCCAGGGCAGGAATCTTGTCTTTTCCGTCTCTTTGCAGCATCTGTCCTGCCAGTAGGGTGCAGAGATGTTTACTGAGTAACAACGAATGTGGACCAAGGTGACAGGCCTGCCCTCCTCCCTGGTTTCCAAGAGTAACTTGGAGTCTAACAAAACCTGCCCTACATTCTTGGAGACTCCTGTCAATCATAAGATTTACCCCCTTTTATTTTTCTATTAGCAAGCCTGGATGAAGGAGGGGGTGCTCCTGGAGGGCAGAGGTTAGGGATGGGATTGTGTTGTGGGAGTCAGCCTTACCTCCCCTCCAGCGGCATTTCATAGCCTCAAGACCAGTGAGGGATCTTGGGGCACCAGCCCAAAGGAGCGAAGTTTCTGGAAAGCTTCCAGTACATCTGCCCCTCACCCCCAGTCTCTCCAGTAGGACCCTGAGCCCTTCTTTCGCGGGAGCCTGCGGGTAGGGGAGCGGGGAGGGAGGAGACCGAGGAGGCTGGGAAGCGGGACAGCGAGGGAGCGCGCGGGGCGCAGCCGGGACGGGACGGGACGGGAGGCGGGGGCGGCGAGGCGCTGGGCTGCCCGCCCTCTGCGCCTAGGCTGGCTTCCCCGCCCCTCCCGCCCCTCGCCGCCGCGCCCGCCCGCTCGCCGCTTACTTAACCTGGCCCTGCGGCCCTGGCGCGCTCACTTCGCCGCCACCACTCGCCTGCGGGTCGCTGGCTCCCACGCCGTTGTCCGCTCACTCCATGGCCCTCCTCGTGCGGCTGCTGCCCCTGGCCTTGTCCCTGGCCCTGGGGCCCGGTGCCAGCCTGGCGGGACCCGCCAGGTCACCCTACCAACTGGTGCTGCAGCACAGCCGGCTCCGGGGCCGGCAGCACGGGTAAGCCTGTCCGCCTGCGTGGGGTGGCGGAGGGAGGGGCGGTCGCTGCGGTCATCGACACAGACTGGACTCAGGACAAAGCCCGAAGGAAAAGTGGGCAGCGTGGGGTGCTTGGAGGGACCAGCCCTGCACCAGGTTGGGGGGAGGGAGGTGGAAGATAGAGCTAAAGTTAGCAGTAGAGGCTTCTTGGAGGAAGAGTGTGAGAGTGGCAGTGACCTCCACACACTCACGCCAAGAGCAGGAGATGAACCAGGGCTTTCGGTTCTCCTCCCAGCCGATAAGAGGAAGGGGACTTGGCAACTCTCTGCCCAGAATCTCCTAGGAAAGTTGGTCAGGGCAGAGAGGAAGCCCACTGAGCAGTGTACATCGAAGCCCTGCCAGGTCCTCATCCTGACACCTCAGGGGACTCAAGATGGCAGCATCCAAAGCCCCCAGGGAATTGTTCACCTGGCCAGGCCCTGTAGCCACCACCTGGTACCAGGCAGTGCTCTCTGGGATGGCAAAGGCAATGTGGCATCTCCTCTCCTGCCAGATGAAAGTCCGGAGAATTGCCTGGCCTCACACACTTGGCACAGATGGGGAAACTGAGTCTGGAGCGGACACACCACCTTCCCACAATCCTGCAGTATACACTGGAGCCAAGATTAAACTCTACCTTAAGACAACAGCTGTGTTTGTAAATGTGGAGCATTATCTTTCCTGATACTCCTTTGAAAAATGGAGGATGTATAGATTTTTAGGCAGCAAAGCCAGGCAGAGAGTATGACCTGGTAAGGACCCTGGCGCAAACCCAGGCAGAGGTGGGCACTATTTCTACATCCCAAATGCTACCATCTGCTTCCACACATAGCCAGGCTGTGCTACAGCTCCAGCCTACCTGCATGCCCACACCCCTAGGTAAAACTGTATGTGGGTGGAGTCATATAGCTGCTGGCATTCATATCCAGGTAGTGCCCAGACTGCTGTATGTCTGGAGAGATCTGTACTCAGATCAGAACTCACTGTTAGGGGGATTAGAGTTGACTTCATAGGACTTTACAGTTCTTGACGCCCCACCCCCAGAAATACTCCCTCAAGAGGAGTGATCATCCTTGTTCCCTCTACCTGAGGCCTCGGGATCTCACCTGGACTTTCAGGTGCGCAGAGCAGCAGGGAAAGGGACCTCTGGGGGGAAGTCTGGCCACTGCGGAGGGATATTGAGCCAGGTCAGACCAAAGTCTCAGTTCCTTCCCTAAAAGAGAAGAGCATCAAAACATGACCTAGACCCTTAGGGGACTGGGAGAATCCCCTATGACTTAGGCTGTGGTTACAAAAGGGTGAGGGGTCACATCAAAAGGCGAGGGGGGATGGGAGGCATCAGAGTCAAAAGGGAAACACGTGGCATTTGTGCTCGCTCTGCTCAGCTCACCTCTGTACTGTACTCTGCCTTTCTTTCCAATGGAACATATTTGGGTGCCACAGCCTTCCCAGGAGGTTTCTATGCCCTTGTATCTTAGCCACGAAGTCAGGAGGGGACCCCTGTAGTGTGCTTGGCAGCATCTCCAACCAGAATGGTGTCTGCACACCACAGTGAAGTTGCCCCGTAGGCGTTGATGGGGTTCCACCAGGAACCATCTCTTGAGCAAACCTTCCCTTCTGAACCCAAAGAAGACGCAGGCCAGTAAGAAAATAGGGCATTTTTAAAATGCACGTACTCTATTATGAATATTCATGATGCTTTTTATTATTCATGTAAGATATTGGATTTCCACCCTCCCCAACACCCGTTCAGTGCCCCTGTTGGGGAAGCCTCTTGATTTGCTTCTGACAGTACAGTCGGAAAGACCTGCAGTGACCCATGCCGGGCTAAGGCATCACACTTGCCCCCCTGCCCTCGTAAAATCTGCACGCACAACTGATAAACTGACAAACGGTTGAGGCGGGGCTGCATTTACTGTGATCTAACAGTCCCTGAAAACATCACAGGGCCGCCTGGCGGGCATATGGGTGTGGCACCCTGTGTAAAATGGGTAACTTTGTCCAAGCTCCAACCCTTCATTCAAAGTGAGAATGGGTGGAAGGGAAGGGGAATCTCTGCTGTTTTGAGGACGTGCTCCCAGATGTGAAGGAGGAGATGAGCATGCCCTACTCCCTGCAGCCTCGGTCACCGTCACCATCTCCGCTTTGCTTCCATCTTTAGCGCAGCTCTGCAGCTTCTGGATGCAGTGGCTTACTTAGTCCAGACACAGAAAGCTGTTGGACAAGTCATGACTGTGGCACACTCTCTTGACTCCCAGCTCTGTCTGTGTAACTATAGGTAGGAGGAAAAAAATAATACCAAGAGAGAAGTAAAAATGCAATCATACTTCCAAATAGCAACAACCAAAACTGGACAAAGTTCCTGAAGCACTTGATTTTCAAATCCAGGTTGAACAGCAAAGCTATTGTGCTTGAGGCAGAAGGCCCAGGAAGGACCTGTTCACTTCAGTTAAACCTCAGCATAAATTTCCTATCTATAATGCCTATGCCTCCTGGGTTACACAATCCGATCTTCCCACCCCTTACCCCTTCCTCTGTTCCTGTCTCAAAGGGCCACAGCCATTCAGATACTCTGCTGAGGAATGCTGGAGTCACATCCACAAAAGACTCACTAAAGCTTCGCCAAACGCCTACACAACATGCCAAGGGATTCATCGACAGTAATTGCTTCCTCCTTGGTTAGATAGAATAACCGCGGAGATTGTACAGTAGTGAACAGCACCTAGGACTGGAGCGTGACCAGTGGGACTCTCCAGGGGTTATTTGGAGTTTGTTATAACTTGCGAATCCCACACAGCAAACAGAGAAGCAGGGTAGCTTCTGATAGAATCCTCTGGAGGCTTCCAGAACTTGGTCAGACACAGAAAGAAGGGGACATGACTGTCATCGCTGCCGGCCTACGGTTTCCTCTCAGCATTTTAACTTCCCTTGCCCTCAGGTTCTTATACCACCTCACTAATATTTACTGTGCCTCTTTGATCCACTCACCTTTGCCTACTGAACCACAAACTGGACATGTGGTAGAAGAGACAAGACAGGGAAATAACTGACTGAAAATTTGAGAGTTAACTGAGTTCCCGTAGTCCAGGTGATGGGAAGAGAGGCGTAGCTCTCACTGCACCATCAGTGTCTTCCTGAGTAGTGCCATCCACATCAAATGGTGGCTGTGATTACATTTTTAAAGTCCCAGAGGAACTGATAGTAAGGAATGATGCTTGGAGTTCCTGAGTCCATTGGAAGCCCTCCGGCTCAGCTTTGCTCCCCTCTGACTTGTGCTTCAGCAGATGAACTACATGTCCTGCTCCGGGAAGTGACCCTCCCGGCTCACCACTCAACTCAGCGGCCTCCTCTCTCCGGGCATTCCTGTGGAGCTCCTGCCACCACCTGGCCTGAGCATGGTTTGGGTCAAGACTTGATACACTAGAATAAGATACATAAAATCAAAATCCTGCTGCTCTGGGAAAGACTTCTCAACAGAACCCCAAGATGTTTGCACTTAGATTTTCCACAATGTTCCTGAGGATTCTTCTGAGCTGGGTGGTCCTTGAGAATCCCACACAATATTTTCAACCAGTTCATTCCACCTTGACCCAGTGCTAGGCCCCATCTCAAACATACAAAAAAAGAACCAGCCAGAGCATCTGCCCTAAGTTATAGGATTCTGTTGGATCCCAGCCTGAAAATAGGTGCTACACCCCACATCAGAGGAGGGACAGAAGAGTGTAATCTGGGGCACTGGAGGATGGCTGTCTGGGAGAAGTGGGAATCAAGCTGGGCCTAAGTAATGAACAACTCTGAGTTTAGTGGGTGAGCATCTCATCCCAGGAGGGCACCTCTGTGGGCTGCCTTTGGGACCCCAGATTCAATCTCCCCTCACTACATGCAGCAGGCCCAGTGGTGTGCACTAAGATGCCAGATTAAAGCCTGTGGAAGTGGGGGTACAGAGAAAGGCTGGGACCGCTCTCAAAGCTGCTCTGCTAGCCAGACACACCGCTTTGCTTCACTAGCTTTCTCAATTGGTAACATGCGATCTGAAAAGTGTCAAGATGCTTTTATTTAAATTTTAAGGTGCATTTGTATTTAGCAAATGTTCATGACCGAGAAGGCCACGTAACATGAAATTCTGGCAATGCTTTGACAGCTTTTAATTTCGGAGGAATGTTGATGGGGTATTGATGGAAATCTGGGTCAGGAAGGCCAAAGTTTGTGCAAGAATGAAATGACTGTGTCTTCTTCATGTTGAGAATCTGTTCTAATGACCCACGTGGGTCCATATGGTGGAAAGGACGTGGAGACAGGGCAGACATGCTGACCATCTTGCTAACACTGCCCTTTGATTTCAGCCCCAATGTGTGTGCTGTGCAGAAGCTCATTGGCACCAACAAGAAGTACTTCACCAACTGTAAGCAGTGGTACCAGAGGAAAATCTGTGGCAAATCAACGTGAGTATCTGTAGCCGCCCAAGGCTGCCAGCCACCACAGAGGCCGTGCTGTGTGCATGGAGGCTGCAGGTGCCTGCAGGCCTGTGCTGGCCGCGGCTGGCCTCTGAAAGGCCAGGCTGCCATGGGAGCCATGAAAATGCATGTGCAAGCATGTCAGGGAATTGTGAATGGGGACTGATGTTTTTAGTAAACTGGGCAAATTTGTTTTGCGTTGTAAAGCCTCTGACATGAATTGTATACATTTTCAGGGCTGATTTAAGAATACACAAAGCATGAAGTCTGTGTCTGTGTCTGTGTCTGTCTGTCTGCCTGCCTGTCTAGTGCTTAATCCTCACTAAACGACAGAAATACTCAGTGGAGAAGCCACCAGCTTCTGATTCTGAAAACCCATTTGTGATTTATGCTAAGTAACAACACCTTTGCTCTGTAATCTTAAGGTCAAACTTCCCCAGATCACCACAAAGACTGAGCTTGCCTAGAAATACGCACTTTATGAGACCGCATAGTGTATTAAGAGCTTAGAGCCACACTCCTGATTCAGATCCCGGCTCTGCCACTTACCTGCACAGGTTGCTTCATTGGAAACCTCCTTTGCCTTATCTGTAAAATGGTAAAAACAATAGGCTGGACTGAATGGAGTAATGCACATGAGAAGCTGAATATGGTATCTGGCACGTGGAGTGCTCAGCAAACACCACCTTCTAAATTTGTAAGTCTGGACCAGTAAAAAGAGTGAGTGCCAGTGGGGCGTGGAGCAGTGTGGCTGTAATAGGGCTTGTCGGTGCCTCAGCATGGCGGGAGGCGGCATTCACCTAGACTTCCTTGCTGCCTGGTGGAAGCAGGGTGGCCTGCATGTTCCAACAGAATTCTGGGGAGGCCTCCCCGGTGGCGCAGCGGTTGAGCGCTGGGTTGCGAAGCTGCCTGCGGCCTCTGCAGCGCCGGTTCAATCCCCGGCTGCTCCCCGGCCACCGGAGGAGGATCCCACATGGTGCGCAGATCTCTCCTGCCGCCCGCTGCTCCCCTCAGCAGTGTACTTCGGTCCTTCTGCCTGCTCTGCTCCCCGCTCTGGCTCTGGTGAATTTTCTCACCCTCCCGCGCTTCTGACTGTACCCAGTGCATGTATAGACAAAACAGGCAAACAAATATAATAAATGAATAAATAAACATGCCTCTAAAAAAAAAAAAAAAAGAATTCTGGGGAAACCTAATCTGTTTTGGCAGCAACCGTCAATAGATCTCCAAGCTGGCTCTCTCCTACAGACAGGAAGATGTGCTGTGCAAAGCCTCCAGAACCACTTGTGAGGGCCTGGCCTTCCTCTGATCTGCATAATAGGAGGATTAGAAGTCACTATCTTAAACACTTTCCCATGGCAGGGATTTTTAAATCTTTTGTTTGTAACATTGCAGACAACTCCTCTAACTTTGTAACCAAATGAAGGAGGGAAAATGCCCTTTCTTTAAAATGTACATGGAAATAAATATCCCAATTTGTGACCCTGACTCAGTGAAACCATTATTAGTCCCAGTTTGAATGGAAGGGATTAGGACTCATAGTGTAGAACAGACCAGCAGTTCCCTGAGAACCTGTGGAGGCAGGTCCATGACAGCTGGCTCCCCACTTAACCCAGCCCAGCCTCAAAGCCAAAGACTAGCGAGCTAAGAGGACACGCTCCCAGATTCAGTGAACAAAATGAAGACATAATTTTCGCTGCAGTGGACAAAAAGAGATTATGCAAATTCTGTGCCGTACATCCTTCCTCAGGGCTAAGTTAAAAAAAAATAATTTTAATACTCTCTGGTTTTCTCCCTGTACATTTATTATCTACTCAAATAAAATTAATGAATTCTTTACTTAAACATAGAGCGAGGCTGCAAATAATTGTGTTCGGTGGCCAACGCACAGATATCAAGCAAGCAGCTCTACCACAGCTCAGAGATCTGGCTTTCCAAGGGCTCCCCACGTTTAGTAGTTCAAGATTCCCTACAAATTGGATGACCATGTGGCAGCATTGTCCACGGTGTTTCTGGAAGATTCTGTATTGAAGAAGTTGCCCAACTAAAGTTAATTTGGTTCTGCAACCTTTACTCTCTCTGTGCTAGGACAAGGCACAGGCAGCACAGCTGTGTGTTGGCAGAATGTTCTTGATGACCCAGTGTTCCCGTGTTCCCCTGGGTAGGTTTGGCTTTGAGTGTGGTGCCATGATGGTGTGTTTCCCCCACCCCAACACACGCACAAACCCCACGCCTATAAGTAGGGAGCCAGGGACTCGGAAAGGAATAGATGAGTGTAGACCGGGGTGGAGCAGAGCCAGTGGCCAGCCCCAGCCATTGACCTGGTCTTCAGTGTGGCTGGTACTTTGGGCAGCTTCAAAAAGAGGAAACGAGGCTAGGAAAATATGAGTGGATGGAAAACTTCATGGTCCAGGACAGGGGGATCCCTTCCTGGAACATCTCATGCAGTGTCAGGAAGGTGGTGCTGACTTGGGAGAGGGCCAGAGAACTCTGGGAAGGAAAGGGGAAGCGGTTGGAGGCATCTCTCTGTCCCTGAGAGAGCTGAGAGACAGCAGCTCGCAGTTCACTTGTGTGACCCGGGAGGGAGCTGCCGGGAGTTAAATGTCCTGGGTGGTCAGGAAGGGCAGGGGAGAAAGCTGTGCAGGCTGGAGTTGACATCATCTCTGAAAATGGTCTCCAGGTGCATTTATTTGGGTGCAGACCAGATGGGGAAATGTGGAGCACAGTGGCGGTTGGAGCAGACAGTGCGTCTCAGCATGGGGCCAGCTCAGGCATGGCGGTTTTCTCAGTAAGACTCCAGAGAAGAGGCTGCCTGTGGTGAAAAAAAGAAAGGGAGCAAACTGTCTTGGGGGAGGGGGAGACCAAGTCACCAAGGGGCCTATGGGCCGGAGATGTAAAGAAGGAGAATTTGAGCTTGAAAGCAGACTAGCAGCACCAAGCACAGGATGGTGGGGAAGGACTTTGCAGTGTCAAGGGACCCAGGTTCCTGGCACCATGCAGAGCTGTGAGGCCTAGGGGACTTGGCCTCCATTAGAGAGGGAGGAAGGGAGGACGGGAGGGCGGGCCCAGCACACTCAGCACTCCTATCAAGCTGGCTACATTGTCTTCACACAATAGTTCTGCATTTCCAAAAAGAGAAGATCTGGAGTCTTTGGTGCTATTTGTCAAACCTGACTTACAGATTTTATTACAGGAAGTGGTTGCCAGCAGGACCCCATTTAATGACTGGAGTGAATTTTATTACTTGGAAATTCACTTTAACTTTTATTTCAGATCCTAAAGAGCACCGGAGTGACACAATAGCTAATCAAACAAAGGAGTTGGTAGGAAGACAGCTTCCTACTCTGCAATTTCAGGCCCTGGTTTGATCAGTATCCATAAAAATGTTGACGTGCAGTGACTTGAGCAATGGTGCAGGAAACTGTGGTCAGGCCTTCTTGCTGCCTCTCCACAGGCTTCTTTTGTGTGGGCCCTGGTGAGGAGACCTATTTAACAGCCAACTCAGAGCTGACATCATGGGGATGCCATAGTCACAGTAGGAGCTCAGACATCATAAACGTGGCACTGGGAGGGCCAAGATGCTAACGGGCAGGGGTGACAGCTGCCCGTGCATTTCAAACGTGTGTGTCTCTCTCTCTGGAAGTGGTTTCACAAACAACACATTTCACAAGTGCAATAACCATTCTCTGGAGCCAAGATGAGCTGGCAGGACACACCCCTCTCTAGTAGCAAGCCTTGCTTTGCCCTAGGGCTGAGATACTAGTACTTCCTCAGCTTTGTGTTAAAGCTTAAAGATTAAACTTTTACTCAGACCAGCTGCTGTATGTTCCTGCTTTTCCACCAGCTGGCAGTGCTATTTCCAGTCCATCTTATTCTGGTTAGGGGCCCAAAGATACCTGTAATGAAGTTAAGGAAGAGACACCCCCTCACACACACACACACCTTTCCTGTGTCCCACAGCTTTGATCCCAAGAGGAAAAGGAAGAAGACAGTGAGAAGAAGCTCTTAGGGAAGCCAGACAACCCAGGCCCTCACCCGCACCTCCTCGCCTATTTCAGATTCCTTGTGTAGCCAGCTGGGACCCCATGGATAACCTGCTCCCAATTACCTGATGTTGACATTCACCAAGGGTTCACAAAACACCTCTGTCAGGCAGTCCTTTCTGAAAGTTCTGTCCCATTGTATCCCAGGGAGGGCAGTTTACCTGACAAAGATTTTGTTCTGTATTTGCATGAACCCATGTGTCATCTGGGGCAAGACCCTCTGGTAAGCACAGTAATGATTGTCCCTAAAGATGTCCACATCCTAATCTCTGAACCTATGAGTATGTTACCTTATGTAGAATGAGAGACTTTGCAGATACTATTAAGTTAAGAATCATGAGATGGGGAGGTTATTCCTGGATTATCTGGAATGTAAATGTAACCAGAAAGGGCATTAAGCAGCTCTCTAGCCCACCTGTAACTATGCTCTTTCACCTTTTCCTAATAAACCTGTCCATTTAAAATGTTAAATAAGAAAGAAAGAGCATTAGAAGAAGGAGGCAGTGGAGGTTGAAGAAACAGAGGTGACCAGAAAACCTGGTCATGTGGCCACAAGCCAAGGCAGGCAAGCAGAAACCCTAGAAGCTGCCTAAGGCAAAGATTGGGATCTCCCCTAAAGCCCCTAAAAGTAATGTGGTCTTTGATTTTAGCCTGAGGCCAATAGATACTCTGACATCCATAATTATAAGACAATAAAGGTATTGTTTTAATTCAATAAATTTCTAATAATCTGTTACAACAAAGGAAGTTCTTACAGACCCCATCTATTGAGCTAGATGTGTTACGGAGGATTTATTTATTACAATGTGATGTGCTCAGTGGTCTCAGGCAGAACATTGTTCTCATGGAGTTGTTAATCTAACTTCGGTTTTAAAGTTTATCCTTGGAGTATTTATTTATTTAATACCTGGAGTTTTGGGTTTTTTAAAAAAAAGAATTATTTAT